ATATGGGTAAATAGAAGGACATACCGTGTTCTACCGCGCGTGTATAGATAGAGGCACGGTGGAGTAATGGATAGAGGCTCGGATTGAGGAATCAGAAAGGCGAGTTTGAATTCCAGTCGAATCCATTACATTCACTTAGGTGCTAATACCCTTGGGAAAGGTATGAACTTTTCTTCTCCGCCACCAGATATGGGTAAATAGAAGGACATACCGTGTTCTACCGCGCGTGTATAGATAGAGGCACGGTGGAGTAATGGATAGAGGCTCGGATTGAGGAATCAGAAAGGCGAGTTTGAATTCCAGTCGAATCCATTACATTCACTTAGGTGCTAATACCCTTGGGAAAGGTATGAATCCTTTTCTTCTCCGCCACCAGATATGGGTAAATAGAAGGACATACCGTGTTCTACCGCGCGTGTATAGATAGAGGCACGGTGGAGTAATGGATAGAGGCTCGGATTGAGGAATCAGAAAGGCGAGTTTGAATTCCAGTCGAATCCATTACATTCACTTAGGTGCTAATACCCTTGGGAAAGGTATGAATCCTTTTCTTCTCCGCCACCAGATATGGGTAAATAGAAGGACATACCGTGTTCTACCGCGCGTGTATAGATAGAGGCACGGTGGAGTAATGGATAGAGGCTCGGATTGAGGAATCAGAAAGACGAGTTTGAATTTCAGTCGAATCCATTACATTCACTTAGGTGCTAATACCCTTGGGAAAGGTATGAATCCTCTTCTTCTCTCCCCAGATATGGGTAAATAGAAGGACAGACCGGGTTCTATATAGCCTTTGATGGTAACTAGTCTATCATCTTAGAAATGGCAACCTACTGCTGGAAAAACTCTGCCTCGTCAGTCATGTATAGAAAGATACATAACTAACGAGGCCTAAGCCTGTATCACGCAGGTTTTAATAAAAGCAACAAGTGGGGCTCGCTTAGAAATATCTTCAGGTCGTGTAATCCAGATCGCAGAGGTAATCTCCGATTGAGGGTGTTCCTATGTATTTAGACGTGATTTCCAAGTTGCCTTGATTGTCTTATCCTTAAAAACTTAAAAAGAAAACAACCGTTTTGAATCTCATGAGTAGAGACATACAGTACATCTACCCCGAAGGGACATAACCAAGTAATTTTAGCATCCCGCTACCACCTTTTTTATTAACATCAATTTTTGTACAAAAAGTGGATCACAGAGCTTATTCAGCTTAGTAAATATTTTCAGAAAACCTCAACTTCTAATTGGTCACTTAATATTTAATAACATTGACCGAGTTCTTGACCTGACCAAAAAGATAATTCCACCAAAATCTGTCAAGCTTCTGTGATCCTATCACGTGACCAAAGTTAGCAATAAAATATGAAACGTCTTTCATCTTCGACAGTGCCCCGATCGGAATCCTTTGAACTCGTCACACAGTTCCAGGCTTTACGTTAAAGTTCCTTAACACGATTCCAGCCTGAGAGAACATTCATTCACACAGCAATATTTTATGACGAACTATCAACTCAAATTTTCCACATTCAACTTAATACAAGAATCTTTTTCATACGCTTTCAAGCTCAACGTTAATTATTGCAATTAACATAAAGACATCTTGTTAAGAACCACTTACCCCAACTAGAATATTCTCTTCGAACAAGTGAAAACAAATCAAAGAGCAACAATTCCGTAAAACTTAAAGTAAGTCGTAAACAATATTTCTCTACTTCAAATACAAACTTGAATTGTTTATTTTTTTCTTATATTACCAAAACACACTTTCTCATTATTGTACAGAACATTCAACAAATTATAATTTATCAAACCAGAACTTTGATAACCTTTCATCTAAACATAAAAGGACGTTTAAACCTTTTAAAACTACCTCTTTACTCCAGTTGTTTGTACCTCTTTGTTATATAAATATTTTATACATTGTTGTGCAAAAACTGTTGTTTCTCATGTTGTCCTTATTCTATCTTTGTTGAATACTAAAAATTTAATGAGAGAGGAAATTGTTAATTTCATCACTCAGCCTAATTTATTCAACAATTTTTAATCAATATAATTTAATCCATTAACACAACTTCCACATAATTAATGTGGAACAAGTGACAAGCAAATCTGTGACACTCAATGAGATATTTACTGCAACTTATCTTAATTCACCAACACAAAACTCAGACAGGTTAATACTTATAATCATTTAAGATAAGAAACCATGGGAGCTATACTTGGTAGAGGATCAGAACATTTATTATTATTATTATTATTATTATTATCATCATTCGATTATTATTATGGATTATTCTACCAAGTCTGGGTGGAAAGACCTTTGATTTCGTGGTGTTGGGCCACATTTCATGTTAATTTTTTTTTTTTTTTTTTTTTTATCTCCGATGAACAGCGTTACATAGACAAAGTTCTCCTTAGTGGTACTTAATAAGACAATTTTCTGTATGTCTCTTAAGCAGGGATTCTTTCAATGTGTTGTTTTGTTCGTATTTTTTTATAATTCCAATTGAAATTATTCTTGCACATTTTATTATTATTATTATTATTATTATTATTATTCCCTTTGATTTCTGGGGTGACATTTCTTTCCGGGTCTTGCTCAGAGACCTAAGATTAGAAATGGCATCATGACATTTTCCACTGACAAAAAAAAAGAAAAAAAAAAAAGCTCTTCGTAAGGTGTGGGCTGTACTCGTGAGAACAATTTTTTGTATTTCTTTAAGGCATGGGCTTCCAGGAATCCCTTCAATTAATCTACTGGAATCTTTTCCAACCAATCTGAGGGCTCCAACTACAACGGGGATTGTTGATGTTCTCATGTACCCATGTACCACATATTATTATTATTATTATTATTATTATTACAGTAAATTTACAGAAGTAAGAATAAAGTAGAATATTTTAGGTCTAATACTTTATAATTTATATTAATAAATTAATATTATAATATAAAAATTTAAATATTTAAAATTTAAATTGTTCGTGCACTTTCGTAAAAAGAATACACATAAAATGCACAGTCCTTATTAACAGTGTTATTAGCCCAAGGGTAACACCTCTGGCTGACCCTGATTCGGTCGGGTTTCGATCCAACTTCATCTATATCTCCCGTTCTTATTTTTTTACCTTTCTATATGCAATAGCATCAATTCCTTTTTCCAACTTGGTTTATTGAAATTTGAAGGTTAATACTAATTTTAATGTTATTTTAACGTTATTTCTATCTCGATTTCACCGACTATTTATCTTTTAAAAATCTAATCGTTATATTACTTGAATTATTTTTCTCTTTGATAACACTTTATGCCAAAAAAAAAATATGAAAGTTAAAATGTATTCTAATTCATATTGTAAAGTAAAATTTGGTTAAGTATACTAAATATGATAATGTAAAGATTTTAAATCGGTTTAATATTCTAATCCATATTAGAAAGTCCGTTTCATAAAATACTGTAGTACTTTTTACATTCCATGAATAATTGTCTCCCAGCACAAAAGGTTTTCGTTTAGATGTTTAGAGAAACATTAACCTAACAAATCTAGGAGACAGTTAAAGTTTAAATTCTACGATTCGAAGGAATTCCATTGGTTGGATTTATTCCTTCTTAGTTTATATCACCCTCACTTTTTTCCCCTCTTATTTCTCTTTTCCCTCTCGCTGTCACTAATCACTTCGATTCCTTTCTTTCTCCACATGTAAATTCTTTTATACTTTTTATGGGAAACATTCCAATGATGGAAGTAGAAACTATGCTTCGATAACTGCATTTCTGAATAAAATATTTTAGGAACTTCGTGACTCCCTACCTGATGAAACGTTAAAAAATTGTTTTTTTAACGTTGAAACAAAATGTACAGTTTTGTAGTGGGTATGTGCGTGTTCTAATGTAACAGTGCATAATAAACAAATATTTATTGCTCTGCTTTTGTACTGAGCCATGTTTTAAATTAATGTTTTGAACGCTGAAATCTTACTCTTCGTTCTTTTACATTTATATATATATATATATATATATATATATATATATATATATATATATATATATATATATATAGAGAGAGAGAGAGAGAGAGAGAGAGGAGGAGTTTGTCCCTTATTATAAGCCACTTCATATTTTATTGATATATAAAATAAATACTTATTGTAGTTTAAAGGTTTATTTGCTGAATGATGGCAATATCTATCTGCGGAGTTAGAGTGAAAGCCAGTTCGTTCGGCATATATATATATATATATATATATATATATATATATATATATATATATTAGTGGTCAATATATATATATATATATATATATATATATATATATATATTCAAGAGGATAGAATCCAGGTAGAGCTCAATGTTCAAGACAGAGCAAGTATATAATATAAAAGGCTCAAAAACTAATATTTCATGGTTATAATTTATTACATTGGAATTGTAATCACGATCCAATTCATCAGAACTACAAATTCAAATTTTTTTTAATTTGTAGGTGTGATGAATTTCAGATTTTGAGTTTCAAGTTAAATTTGCCAAAATTCCCATCAATTTTATATTATGTTATTTTTCCCCCGAGTACTTTCGAATGTTGCTTCATTCGCTTTCAAGGATTGTTCTTTGTGTAGTTATGCAACTGATTTTAATTTCGGAGTTCTCACTTATTAAATATAGGTTGTGCGGACACAGAGATCAAAACCAAATCGGAAAATCTGTTTCATGCTTGTATGCAAGCTTTAGACCTAAAACTGGGAGTATTTGGATAGCAATCTTTCATTTATACATGTTTAGTGGAAGGCCACCGAAAGTTTTTGGACAATGGTTTATAAAAACACTCAGAAGACATTGGATAGTTTATGTTCAGATTCTCTTCGGAAACCAAAATGATGGTCTGAATTGTAGTGGTTCTTAAACAAACGCAGATTGCAAAATCACTTGACATTTTTGGTGCTTTTAAGCCAGGCTGTTGAGTGATGGGTGTATTTTTTTTTTATCGAAACACCAGCTTTAAATACATTGTCAACGAAGACTAAAGATTTTCTATCTAACCCAAGGGAGATAAAGATAGATAGATAGATAGATAGATAGATAGATAGAGAGAGAGAGAGAGAGAGAGAGAGAGAGAGAGGGGAGAGAGGGCGGGGAGAGAATGTATTATTTATTTTTGATAGAAAATAGTTCATTAATTGTTAGGTTTATGTATTATTGCTTTTACCGTTGGAACAATGGCGTCATATGACAGAAACAAACAAAAAAGAACTGTCTTCATTTCTTTGAAGACAAATGAAAAACCTTTTGCATATGCAGAACACAAACTAAAAGATACCGTCTGTTTTTTTGTCCATCGTGAAGCGGCCTCTCGCTTGTCGCTACAAAGCATTTATTATCATTTCAATCTATCCAGACCGTTAAAACCACAGACAATACAATTGCCATTGCTTGCCGAATGCTTGATTTAAACTAAATAACATAATTATAAACTTTTTCTCGATGAAGGAAAACAGATATTACAGATTCCACTCTGAAGAAAAATTGATTGTCGAACACTATATATATATATATATATGTTTGTCATACACGGACAGATTTTTTCGCTGTATCACAGCTCTTCAGTGTGGCTAGACGTCTGCTTCAAGCCGGGATCGGAACCTGACTGATTTGACATCAGTCAGAGATCCTACTCCTAGGCTATCGTCGCACGGCAGAGAGGAAGGGAAATTTTAACGTTTTTCTATGTGAAATACGCCAGTGGCCCGGAGAACTCAATTCGTAATTGAAGAGTAATGCATTAATAGCAGTAGGAGCCGCTCTCGAAAGATGAACCCTTAATATATATATATATATATATATATATATATATAGATAGATAGATAGATAGATAGATGGATAGGCAGGTAGATAAATAGATAAAGATAGAGAGAGCGTCTATAAATATAAATGTAGGCATTGAAATCAACACTCAGCGACGACAGTATGTTTCATGCTTAAACGTAAGCGTTAGGCCTGACGATTGAGTTTAAGCATGAAACTACACACACACACACACACACACACACACACACACACACACACACACACATATATATATATATATATATATATATAAATTATTATTAAACCACCTGCTTGCATTCGAGTCTTGGTAAGTGTGTTTTGTTAGCTCCACAAATTTTGGGACTATTAATATCAGAAACTTTTTCAAGAAATTGTCTCTTGCATTCACTTTCGCCGAAATTCTCTTGGGAAAGGCATTAACCTGTATTTTCTCCCAGCTATGGATTAAATAGCAAGGTAGATTGAGCTCTCTCGTCTTGGTTGGCAACTGAGGAAGGAAAAATCTGAATACCGATCTGAAGAGGAGGCAACAGGAAAACACAACGCAATCTTTAATTGCCAGATAATAAAGAAAAGCGTTTTGTGGAGAGTCCTGAACGCCTACGCCCTGAAGGGACATGGCATTTATATATAATACTGAAAGTACATACGCGCACATATATGCATACACTGTGAATTGCTAAGCATAGTTTAATTTGGGCATCTAGTATGGACACTCAGGGAGGCTCAAACTCACATCGAACTAATAATGAAATACGACACCTAAAATTAATCCACAAAAAATTACTAATATATATATATATATATATATATATATATATATATATATATATATATATTTATATATATATATATATATATATATATATATATATATATATATATTCCATGTTTTCTGTTCAGGATTGTGTGTCCGGTATTTTCTAAAGTTTTTTCCTTTCTCTGTCACTTCAATATGACAGGTACCATAGCAAAAGCAATTACCATAAAAGTATTTATTATATATATATATATATATATATATATATATATATATATATATATATATATATATATATATATATATATATATATATATATATACAGGTGTCCCAAAAAAAAAAAAAATTGACATAATTTAAAATGTGAATATCTGAGTAACTACATGACCGGGGCAAACGAAATTAAATAGGCTTCATGTTGAAGAATAAAATATTTATTTTTCAAAATTCGAGCAATTTATTTAAAGGGATGTAGAGTTTATAACCGATTTCACAAATGTTTAATCTGCGCAGCACCTGTGACACGACACACGTCAAGTCGGTAGTCCAGATCCTACCAAATACACTGTAGCATGCCTTGCGTAACATTCTCGAGCGCCTCAGTGATTCTCTGCTTAAGTTCCTCTAGGGTTTTAGGAAGATTTAGGGAGATAGACCTGTCCTTTCAAATAGCCCCATAGAAAAAGTTCACAAGGTGGCATGTCAGGTGAACGTGGTGACCATTTCAACAGCACATTGTCATTACCACTAACACGTCCGATCCATCTTCGTGGTAGATTCTCTTTGAAATAAGTTTTAGTTTTTACACATTTTGTTCAAATCTGAGATAATTTGATTGAGAAATGGCTGTTATTAGATTACAAAATAATGACAAGTTATTTTTGGATATATATATATATATATATATATATATATATAT